ATCTTTTTGGCCGGCCCAAGTGCTCGGATTGGACTGGCGAGGGGCGGAGCCGAATTTACGTTGCTCGGCCAAGTGCCCGAAGGTTCTGCAGATTTTGCAGTAGAGGTGTCGCGGTCGTCGTTCTTCCTTGTTGTTGGCGTAGAACGTGATCCGTTCCCGGTCTCGTCGCAGCACTGGTCGCTGCTGGTCCATGTCTCTCTGTTAAGGGGGGCGCATAGGGCGTCTTTCGAGATAGCCCCTTGTTGCCGGAGTAGCACCTTGCAGGGTCGCCATTCAGGGCCAAGCCCTGCGAGCACGATCTTAACAAAAAAATCTTTCGAGATCGAGCTCCCAAGTTTCGCGATTTGATCGCATAAGCTCCGACAACGGTTGATATAGCTGTTGGCCTTCTCCCCTGGTGCCATTTCGGTCGCCAGTAGTTGCTGGAGCAAGCGGCTTGAGGAGACTGAGTCCTTGGGTTGATACACCCCATTGAGGTGTCGCCGGGCTTCGAGTGCTGGAGCAGGTGCGGTTTTGTGGAAACAAATTCCTAGTTGCTCCGTTGGCGACATGTTGCGGAGAAGCACACGTACGCCACGAGCGATTCACTGTAATATTGTGCCCTAGCATCGTCGGTGTCGGCCGTGGGTCCCGCGTAACTCCCATCGACATAGTGAAATATTTGCGCGTTCTGCAGCAACAACTCCAGCTTGAAGCTCCAGGTATAGAAGTCCTTGCCATCAAATCAAGCACTTTGTTTTTTATATGCTCAAAAACCTTGATTACGCTGATAGCATTGGTTCATCGCTGGGACAGAGAGTCTTGGGTGTTGAGCTATTTGTTTCAAAGGAGAAGGTGTGCGGGGTGGTATTATGGCCATTCGCAGCCGGGTTGAGAGGGTTGGGAAGATGTTTTCACAGGAGCTGCGCGAGTGGTTTGCCCGGCGTTGGAGCCGTGCTGCTGGAGCTGGAGGTGCTGCTGTTACTGCTGACCCTGGGGTCGGCACTTGAGTTACTGGAGCCACTGGTCCTGGAGGTGCTCGTACTGGCGGTACTGGAGCTGCTGGGCCTGGGGGTGCTGCTGAGACTGCTGGAGCTGACGGTCCTGCTGGAGCTGGAGCTGCTGGGGGTGTTGGCGCTGGAGGTGCTGCTGGCGCTGGTGCTTCTGAGGGTGCTGGAGTTGGCGCTGTTGGAGCTGGAGGCGCTGCTGGCGCTGGTGCTGCCTCTAGGGGTACTGGTGCTGTCCCTGCTGGTTCTGGAGGCGCTGCGCGGCCGCGGCCGTACTTCGTTCCGCTCCTTGAGCAGGTTCTTGGTCTCCCGCCCTCTACTGGTCCTGCTCCTCCCTTAGGGTGTCCACAGCCTGTCCAGTCGCGGTCATAGTTACATCCCGCCTCCCCCCTACCTGCTCCTTCTCCCTACACTGGTCCTACTGGAGGTCTTGCTGAGCGTCGTGAGCCTGCGTCTCGTCCTGCGTCGCCTTTTCGTGCTGCTCGCACTAGTAGTCGTGCTCCGCGTCCGCGTCCTCCTGCGGTCCCAGGCACACACCAGATGGCACTGCGTCCTTCCACTGCTCCTCTGCGTGTCCCGTTGCCGTCTCCTCCAGAGTCCTCTCTTCTTGTCCTTGCTGACTTGGAGTCTGACTCTCTTCGTGCTGCCAGTCCTACTGTCACGCGTCTCCTGGCTACTGTTGTCACTGACCCTTCCTTTGAGTCCACTGCTGCGTCTGCCTTGGTTGCTGAGCTTGTCGACTTTGCTGCTCGCTGTCGTCTAGACTACGCTGCTAGTCTTGTTGCTGAGTCTGAGTCTGTCTGTCCTCCGTCCGTCGGGGGTGAGTGTGCTCTTAGCACGGACGTCCTTGAGGACAGGCAGGAGGAGTTCCAGTGTTTTGCTGCTACTTTGCCTCATCTCGTGTCCACGCTGATTGCCCCTGAGGGAGACCCGGATGCACCAGACATCCCGACTCCTTGATCGTACGCTGAGGCGATCGAGGGTCCCTACTCCTCACAGTGGCAGTCAGCCATGGACGCAGAGATGGCTTCCTGGAAGTCCACAGGCACCTACGTCGACGAGGTTCCCCCACCTGGGGCGAACATCGTCAGTGGCATGTGGATTTTCAGGGTGAAGCGGCCGCCGGGTTCTCCGCCTGTCTTCAAGGCGCGTTACGTGGCTCAAGGCTTCAGTCAGCGGCAGGGAGTTGACTACTTTCAGACCTTCTCTCCCACCCCGAAGATGACCACTCTTCGGGTGCTGCTGCACATAGCCGCTCAGCGCGACTACGAGCTTCACTCTCTTGACTTCAGCACAGCTTTCCTGCAGGGCAGCCTGCACGAGGAGATCTGGCTGCGCCGCCCACCTGGCTTCACTGGGTCGTTTCCCCCTGGTACCCAGTGGAGCCTCCGGCGGCCAGTCTACGGTCTCCGCCAGGCGCCCCGTGAGTGGCACGACACACTGAGGACTACACTTGCGGCTCTTGGGTTTGCTCCTTCTACTGCCGACCCGTCGCTGTTTCTGCGCACCGACACCTCTTTGCCGCCGTTCTACATCCTCGTGTACGTCGACGACTTGGTCTTTGCCACTGCTGACACTGCTGGACTCGCCCACGTGAAGTCCGAGCTGCAGAAGAGACACACGTGCACAGACCTGGGTGAACTGCGCAGCTACCTTGGCTTGCAGATCACCCGGGACAGAGCACAGCGCACCATTACCCTGACTCAGTCACACATGGTGCAGCAGGTCCTTCAGCGCTTCGACTTCACGTACTCCTCGCCTCAGGCCACTCCTCTGTCTACTCGCCACTCGCTCTCAGCTCTGCCTTCGGATGAGTCCGTAGAGCCGAGTGGCCCGTACCCAGAGCTTGTTGGCTGCCTCATGTACCTGATGACCTGCACACGACCTGACCTTGCATACCCTCTTAGCATCTTGGCACGCTATGTTGCTCCTGGGAGACACCGACCAGAGCACATGGCTGCAGCGAAGAGGGTGTTGCGCTACTTGTGCAGTACGTCGGGCATGGGGCTAGTGCTTGGAGGGCAACGTTCAGTGGTCCTCACAGGTCACGCAGACGCTTCTTGGGCTGACGACCAGGCTACGCAGCGGTCGTCACAGGGTTACACCTTCAGCCTTGGTTCCGGCTCTGTTTCGTGGCGGTCTACCCGCTCGTCTTCTGTTCTCGGCTCCAGCTGTGAGGCTGAGATCTACGCGGGGGCCATGGCTGCACAGGAGCTACGCTGGCTCACCTACCTGCTGACTGACCTAGGAGAGCCGCCTCGTTCTCCTCCAGTTCTGTACGTAGACAACAAGGCCATGCTGGCCTTGTGTCGGGAGCACAGACTGGAGCACAGAACGAAGCACATTGCTCTTCGCTACTTCCTTGCTCGTGAGCTGCAGCAGCGTGGTCAGCTGCGCCTTGCTTACGTGGCCTCTGAGGCCAACACTGCTGATATCTTTACCAAGGCACTTCCGCCTTGTGATCATCAGCGCTTCTGTACGATGCTAGGTCTTCTGCCTACTTGGCCTCACTTCCTCACTTCTTGACCTTGCTTGTACTGTGATCTTTCTATACCTGCACTTGTTTGTTTACCTTTATATATGATCTTGCATGTGAACTGGCCTTGCGGCCTTGAACTTGTGCTCGGAATGTGTGGTGACGTTGTGATCCACCCTGAGCTTGCTTTGCTTTGCTTGACTGGTCTTGTGACCTCTTGTTCTCCCCCACTTTGCCTATGGGGGTGTGTCAAACTCATATGCTATAGTCTGTGTAGGCTGTAGTGGGGTAGACAATATGGGGTACAACACTTTTAGGTTTTCCTACTTGTACCTACCTGCTTGCTAGTTCATTCATTCCTCATTTCTTCTCAGGAATGCCAGCTCATACTGACCGGACGCGCAGGATGTGAGGTCCTCAAAGTCAATCGAAGCGAAGATAGTTGTGTCCTCGCTGCAAAATTGGATTTCGTTACCGTTTTAATCAAAATTTAAAATTGAAATTAGACCTGCGCTTATAATAAGTAAGGGTTTAACAGGGGGTGCGCTTGTAATTGAGGAACGGGCATAAGCGCAGTGCTCCAGATATAAGCGCATGCGCTTATCATAGGCCTGCGCTTATGTCCGGGGTGATACGGTACCTTGCCACACTGACCATTTTGCGTGTTGCTGTACAAGTAACACTGACGAATCAGTATAGTGACGTGAGTCACACTGAAACGGAGTTGACCGCGTGGGGGGGGTGGGGATGATAGGGTACGCGTATACAATCTGTACATTTCCGTGATTCCTGAGACCCCACCAACACACTTGCCTTTTTTTCGCATGCACTGCACAGATATCAGGTGCGCCCCGAAGTGTTTAGCCTCGCTGGAACCTATCACAGCAACAACACCACACACCTTGTACTGGGGTTTCAGCTATAGTTTTTTGTTATTACACTGTTGGTTCAGTTTACTTATGATTTTTACACTGGCAAAATCAGTATAAAAAAAAACCGTGAACGCTGATTCGGACACCTCGTTGGCCGGGGCACGCTGATCCATCAGCATACCCTCAAACCAATCTGAGGGCCTGGCCCAGATGATCATAATATAATTTATGAAGTGTGTAATTTGATTCTCACATAGTGGGTGTGTCAGCATACACGTTTGTGGTTTACATGTGTACAATATAGGCTAGGTGAATTTCTGGTGTAGAGAATTACATGTTATATCTGTATCCCTTCCGTCATTAATTCTCTTCTGAACATTTTATGCCTTGGCCTTGTTTTAATATATTCTCTTGCCTTATTTATTGTTCTGTGCACTACCGTATTTTTTTACGAATACTACCCATAACGACGCAAACTCTCCATGTCAAGCGCGGGAGTTTCAATCTCGCCAGCCCCCCATCTTCTCGAAACTTGATTTTCCTGAGCTGCTGGCAACCGCCAGCAGGATCCCCAACCAATTTGGCTCTTTTTAGTGCTCGTTATCGCCGACGAGTCTGCGACACCTCGTTGGTCCATCGCAGCGCTACTCGCCAATCCTGTGCGACATGGACGACGACGGCGGAATGTCGCTCTTCGAGGGGATGGACTTCGTCGATCCCTCCACGCTCCTCTCCCCACCCCGCGCCGTCGATGCCGCGAGCACCCCGTCATTTGAATCGCCTGACTCCTCCCGCGCTGCTCCTCTTGCCGACGCGCCGCACCAAGAGCTTCCCTCAGCAGGCGATCTCTCCAATCAGGGCTCTTCCTTTCAAGTCCCGATACAAGCCTCCTCATCCGCTTCGTTACAGGCGTCTGTTGTTCCGGAAGGCACAGACGAAGCGAGAAAGTCTGCACCGCTGGACGCTTCGCTGTTCACTTCGGAACCCGCCGCCACACTAGCAGACACGTCACCAGCCACGTCAGCAGCCTCTGCAGCAGCCATTGCGGGATCGGCGGCGGGTAGCCCGGCGCCGCTGTCTCCCGCGGCCGCCCTGGCAGCCCTCTCGCCTTCCGTTGCCGTCCTCTCGCCGTCCCTGCTTCCTGTAACGGCACCGGCCGGCAGCGGCGGCTCGCCCATTACCGGCTCTCCTAGCGCCAGCGTGGTAGGCTCGGCGGCCTCCTCAGGTGGCGTTTTAGCCAGTGCCACCTCCAAACCTGTCGGTCTGGTTCGGAAGAAGAAGCGGAGCATCAGGATCGGGTACGAGCGGGACTCTGCGGAGGAGGCAGCAGGTTCGGCGGGGGCAGTGGCGGCGAGATCTGCGGACGCGAGTGGCAGCAGTGGCGCAGCGGGGTTGGCAAGTTCGCGGAGCAGCCTATCAGAGACGGAGATTGTTGCAGGCGACGGCGGAGACGGAGGGGCTGGGGGGACGGGCAGGGGGAGTCTTGCAGAAGAGCTAGCGGAGGAGGGGCGCGGTGGAGTGTTGGAGCAAGGGCTGTCGGGTAATGAAGTGACGAGTGGCCATGGCGGTGATGGGCGTGCCACAGCTGGTGTGGATGGCGAGGCAGAGGGGGGTTTGACCGATACCAGTGGCACTGGTGCTGGTGCTGACGACAGCAACGTGGGCAGTGACGTCATGACAGATGAGACGAAGAGGGGTGTGATGGACGCGCCCTCAGCAGCCAATGGGATTGCAGAAAATATCGAGGTGGAGGAGAATAAGGGCGCTGTAGAGGAAGCAGCAGAAACTGCTGACGTGGCAGGAAGTGCAGAAGCGGGGATGCAGGAGGGAGAGCATGAAACTGCTGACCTGTCGCCTCCTCCAGCCATGTCAGCTGACCCTGCTGATGCAGCAATGTCAGGCCCAGACGAGGCAGGAAGGGAGGGAACGGAGGCGACAGGGACAGACAGGGAGGATGGGGCAGAAGCGACGGAAGAAAAAACAGAAGTGGCCGCAGGAGCGATGGTTACAGGAAGGGATGACACAGGGGGTGCGGAGGGTGGTGAGGGAGAAGACGATGGGGAGGCAGAAGCTGGTCTTGGGGGAGAATTAGAACAACAAGTGAAGCGCCTCCTTGCTGACGTGGCAGCTAATCTGGCCGCCGTGCAGGCCAAGATCCGTGACGCCACATCAGCACGAAAACGGGCGGTCCAGATGCGCCGGCAGGCAGCCCAGCGGGCGGCAGCCGCAGCGAAGCGATTGGAGGAGTTTGAATCTGAGCTGGCAGCGGCGTGCGAGGCGGAGGAGTTTGAGCTAGCAGACGAGCTGAGCCAGCGGGCGGAGCGGGCGGCGGGCGAGGTGAAGGACTGGGGCGGCGAGGTGGCGCAGGCGGAGGAGCAGGTGGGGCGGTGCAGCAGTGACGTGCTGCGACTGACAAGTGAGGAGGCGGAGATTGAGGTCGGGGCTGCCGAGGCCCTCCGACGCATTCACAGGGTGAGTGGCGGGATGGGGAGTGGGTGAGGAATGTTGAGATTGAAGATGCAGTTTGGCAGATGTTGGCCAAGACTAGCACAGAGGCCGCAAATAGGCTTTTGAAAGCGTATGTAGTATTGCACTCAGTTAAAACAATGAATGAATACATTGACCATTTTTTAGATATGTGGCGACTTGTCCAGCAACTAATAGCAACCTTATTCCCGCTTCCCAACTTTTCACCTTTCCCCCATCCCAACCGTTCGCCTTTGCCCCACTCCCATCTCTCGCCTTCTCCCTGCCAGCAAGCGGCAGCAGCAGCAGCAGAAGCCAAGCAGGCAGCACAACAGCAGGGGGAGGAGGAGGAGGGGCGGGTGGCAGCAGAGGAGGCTGACGTGGACATCAAGAAGCGCAAGCTGGCGGTTGAGCGGCGCGTGCTGGACGAGGAACGCGCTGAGCTGGCAGCCAAGGTGGACGCTGCCACGTCAGCGGAGCGCCAGGAGCGTGAAGAGCTGGAGAAGGGGCGTGCTGAGCTGGAAGCTGAGCTGGCAGCGTTGATGGAGCAAGTGTGTGCAAAGGAGCGGGAGATAGAGCAGCAGAGGGTGCTTATAGCGAAGGTGGATGGGAAGATCTCAGCCGTTGCCGGCAGGTTTGAGAAAGCGAGGGGAGGACTGGAGGAGGAGGAGAGGGAGGTGGTTCAGATGGAGGAGGAAGTGAGGGAGATGGAGAAGAGGGTGGAGGAGGGGAGGCGGAGGGTGGTGGAGGTGGTGGAGGAGGGGAGGAGGGTGGCGGAGGGGTTGGAGAAGGTGGGGAGCAGGGCGGAGGAGGAGGCTGAGAGGCTAGAGCAGGCGGTGGAGGGGAGGAGGAGGGAGGCGGAGGAGGTGAGGGCGGTGGCGCAGCGCAGGGAGGAGCTGGCGGCCGCGGAGAAAGACGCCCAGGCGGACCTGGAGGCGCTTGGGGAGGCCATGGGCGAGGTGAAGACGAGGCTGCAGGTGAGCGGGGTTGGTTGTGTGGAAGTGGGGAGGGGGTGAGGAGGTGTGTGTGCTTGGCAGTGGAGAGCGAGGGCGTGTGAGTGGAAGGGGGGCTTGCTGTACAAACGTGTGCAAGTATGGGAGAGGCAGCGAGCGATGCTTGATGGGACGGGGATTTGAAAGGGGGTCACAAAATCTGGGCTTCCTGTCGGCACTGCGCCGGGTGTGGTGTGTGCAGGCTGATCCCAACATCGCCGCGCCATCACACACATGCGCATCTATCTCCCCCTTCCCCATACCCCAACCCCAACCCCAACCCCAACCCCAACCCCAACCCCAACCCCAACCCCAACCCCAACCCCAACACCAAACCCCTTCTCATGCTCGCACCCCATCCTCCTCTTGTCGCTCACCATCACATTTCCCCCGAACGATCGTCATGGACCACTATAGTCTCTGCCTCCTGACCCTTCCTTTTCTTCACATAAACCCTGAACCCTCATGGCCTCCCACCTTCATGCCCCTTCTCCTCAACACCGCATCTGGCCCCCGCAGGAGCTGAGTGGCGCGCGGCAGAAGGCGCAGGAGGAGCTGGCGGCGGTGCACCAGCGCCTGGCAGCCGCCGCCCGCCGCATCCCCGAGCTGGACGCGCAGAAGAAGGCGGCGGCCGCCGCCCGGAACTTCAAGGAGGCCGCCCGGCTGGCAGCCGAAGCAAAGCTGTTCTCCAACGACCGGGAGGCGGCAGAGAGGCAGGTGAAGGAGTGTGAGGAGGAGATTGCACGCGTGGAGCGGGAGGAGGTGGGGAAGCAGGAGGAGGTGCGCGCGATGGAGGAGATGGTGAGGGAGAGAGAGAGGGAGGTGGGCGTGGCGCGGTGTGCGAGGTTGAGACTGGTGGCGGCGGTGGCACGGCGGGAGATGGAGGCGGCGGCGGAGGGGGAGGACTGGGAGGAGGCGGAGGGGCTGCAAGGGGAGGCACAGGCGGCTGATGGGGAGGCGGATGCTCTGCAGCTGCAGTGGGGGCTGCAGGGGGAAGAGTATGAGCGGAGGGAGTGAGGGGGTACCGGAGGGGGCCCTGTTTCGGGTTTTGGATGGGAGTGAGGCTACTCGTATTGTTGGAAGGGTGGTGGGCCACGGAGAAATGATGGAAGTTGGAAGGTGGAGGGAGCGTGAGTCCGAGGACGTGGGCAGACGATCAAGAGCAGTGAGGGGGAGAGGAGGGGGGATGCGGAGAGAGGGGGGAAGGGGGGAGGAACAATGGGGAATAGGTGGGAAATCGGGAGAGGCAGGATGGAGGAGAGGAACAATGTGCATGTGGGGGACAGAAAGCGTGGTGGAGGCCAACGTTTTGGAGGTCCAAAAAGGCCTAAAAGACATGTTCGATGATTCCCCATTAATTTTATCCTGCTTTGGACATCATCAGTGCTAGACAATAGTCTGACTGATCCTCTATTGGCCTGTTGTGCTGTCATGCTCACGAGCTAAGTATGCATTTGGTGTGATGCATGTGCTACGGTAGTACACAAACAATAAACCACCCTCTGCACTGCATGCACTGGAATCACGCAAGAGCACAGCTCATGATGATTCCACACAAGGTCAAGCACAAACAATCCAATGCCTTTTGATTGCAGAAGCATGAGAAACAAACAATATCGACCGGAGGCTGCACCTCAGCTGGCACAAACGCACACTCGGTAGGTAGGAGTGCCACTGGACTGGAAAGACAGCTGCAGTGATACTTGCCAGCACCGACCTCACAGGCAGCCACACCGCGGCAACCTTGCAATGACACACACAAGCCGAATTGTACAACAAAACTATCTGCCAAAAACACGGCACCAATCGCTCCGTTCTTTTGCAGGTGGGGTCGGCAAATGGCGGAGCTGCTACTCATCCCAGTCACCGTTGAAATCATCGCCCCCATCATCACCGCCATCCTCAGCGCCCTCAAGCTCCCCAAACACATCCTCCGATGCCCTCTCTTCCACCACCACCCTCCGCCACCTCCCTTCTCCCACTGCCAGCTGCTCCTTCCCCCCCCTTCTCACACCACCTGCTCCCTGCCGCCCTTCCCCATCATGCTCTCCACTGCCTCTTCCACCGTGAGCCACTGCTTGCCAGGGTTGCTCTCCACCTGCTTGTTCCACCCCACATGCACCGCCTTCTGCTGCCTCTCTGCTCCCCACTACGCCCATCTGCCCTTGTGAGTTTTCCGATGCTCCTCCTCCATCGCCTGCACCTTCTTTCCCAGACTCCCTCCCAATTGCACTTCCTGGCCCTTTTGATTGCTCCTCTCGCCCTACCGCCTGTTGCTTTCCTGCCCCAGCAGCAGCAGCACCAGCAGCAGGTTGCGGGTGCGCGAAGGAGAAGAGGCGGACAGCGAAGGCAAAGGCACGGTCGAACAGGAAGGGGCGAGCAGCCTCTGCTAGCGCAGACAGGCGGGCCACCACAGGGGGACGGGGAGTGCCAGTGAGTGGGGGGCGAGCAATGAGGGGTGGGCGGGCAGTGACAAGTGGCTGCACGGCGGATCTGGGGGGCCACACGGTCCTCATGGTGCTGATGGGAGGGTGCCTTGACGCCTGATGACCTGACACCCTGCCACTCCTCGCACATGTTGCTGTTGGTGTGGCACGTGCCGAGGTGGCAGGGAGCGGTGCTGGTGGGGGCTGGGTGGCGGGCGGGTGGAGGAAGACTGCGAGCAGATGATCCACCACCATGCCCACGTCCTGCTCCTGCATGCATGCACATGCACATGCACGCACACATGCAAGAATGCCCCACATGCAAACATACACACATGCATGCGAACATGGATGCACTGCACACACACGTTGGTTGGTGAATGGAGGGAAGGTGGTACTTGAGCAAGGATGGCACGAGTGCATGCCAAACCTTTCCCCAACTATGCTGGCAAGCACACTGACGAGCATCCCCTCCCACTCATCCATCCCACCACACGGAAACCACCCTCGCACGCACACACAAGCGCAAGAACGCTCACTGACCTTCATGAGCGCCTGCAGCTCCACAGTCATCCACGCGTGCACCACACTCTCCGTCGGCGCACTCTCCGCCACTCGGCCCGCCCCCGCTGCTGCCACCCGCCCTTGCCCGCTCCGCCTGCCCTCCCTCTCGTGCTCTCTGCACCCTGAGCTGCACACAGGGGTGACGGAGATGGTGCAGGCGATGGCAGCGCTGGTGCCACTGCCATAGGCGAGCTGGTGTAAAGGCGCCTCCGCTTGCAATGCTCCCCAGAGGGCACAAACGCGCTGGAGGAGTGATAGAAAAAGGGGGGAGGGGTAGGGAGTGATGGAAGATAAGTAGGAGCAAACTAGAGGGGAATCATGTGGAGGGTGGGAAATCCACGGAGAGGTTACCAAAATAAGAGCGAGCGGACGAGATCAACGCCTCTGAGTAACCCCTTAGAGCGTTCCCCACCCCCCCCCCCAAAAAAAAAAAAAAAAAAGAGGAAAAAAACCACAAGGGAGGAAACAGCCGCACCTGAAATGATGTGCACGGTTATACTCTCATACCTGATGATCCTACCCCCGCTGCTTCCATGCCTGCCCTCAGCATGGCTCCCCGCAGCTGCCTCAGCCGCAGGTTCGAAGGCCCCTTGTTGTGCAGAATCAAAGGGCAGGATGGGTAGCTGGTCGAAGTCAGCAGCGGCGAGGTTGACGTGATGGATGATGGAGAGCGGCGCGGCCTGGAGGAAGATGCGCGCAGGGTAAGGGAGGGAAGGGTGCAGCAGCAGTGGCGTGATTGATACTACAAGCAGACCCAGCAACGGAGGAGGCCATTTCAGCGAGAGAGACAATTTGAACCTCTCCCGCCTCGTCAGCCAATGAGGGCCCCCCCCTCGCCTTCACTTACCGCCATCCAGTCTCCACATACGCGAGAATCAATCCCACAGGGATTGATCCACACTTGACCAAGGTACCTCATGCTACCTCGCTCTGCCTACCTTGCAAACGGGGCACACAGCTCGTCTCCTGGGTTGCTGTTGACTGCTGACATCAGCATGCGAAGATGTGCCTCGTCCAGCTTCAGCAGCTGCAACGTCAGCATCTGCTGGAAACTGAACCGCCGACTCGAGCCCCGGTGACGTGGCAACATGAGCATCGGTGAGCGCAACATCGGACGGTTGTTGCTGCTGCTGGTGCTGATGGCGTAAGTGCGGAGGGATGATGGGGCAGCGGGTGCAGGACTCGAGCCATCGCACGATGCAGGCGAAGCAGAAGCTGTCTGTCAGTAACCAAGGCTCGACGACGTTCGTCGACGGTTACACCGTTGTAGTTCGTTGAGGGTCGAATCCCACCGCGAAACATTCCGTCGGTTTTACCCGCGAAACGGGGAAGAAGGAAGCGAAGGGAGGAGGAGGAGGAGGAGGATGGGAAAAGGGAAAGCCAGTCAGAACTCGCACATAGGTGTCAGAACGAAATCCTTAGCAAAACAGCATCCGACAGTGGTACCTACGGAACGACTGTGCTGTTGTGTGAAGGGCTATGGCACCCACGGAAGCACGGCTCGAGGAACGCCTCGTCTTGAGGTTCGTCAAGGCAGATCGGACAGACAGACGCCGTGACGGCCATGCATGCCACGGGTGGGTTGACGATAGCAAGGTCAGGTTATGGCAGCACAAGATTCTTCAAGCTGTTCGACCCGAGCGCCTTGCGATGCGACCTAAAACTACCCATGTGGGCTGGACACGAAGTGTGTGGTACAGTGAAGTGAAGTGCGATAGTCGTCGGAAATTCGACAGCTCAGTTCAATTTGCTTGGTGGCGGAATAGAGAGTATGAAATTCCCCGACACACTGTAGGTACTGAAATACAGTGAAGTGCCAGTACACTGTGCCAACGTGTTCAGACAGGTTTGGCTTGACAGGGCCCCACCCCACATGGACTGACGACGGTTTGACGAATTTGGGGGACATTGTAACGATGTGTCTCACGCACTGGTTTCATCGCTAGAGTTGCTCCGTCGTCCCAGCGTGCCCTTCTATTCTCCTACCCACCAACGACCGCCACTCAGTCCCTGCTACAGTACTAAGTTGCCCTAGCTTCTCCTGGTGGAACTTTGCTGGTAACCCGCTGCGCCATATTTAGAGACCGCAGACTTCCAAGATTAAGTTATGGCAGAGAATAGCGGCGCTGACAGCAGCAGCGGGGGACACATTCCGCAGTATATTCCTTCCAAGCACGTTCCATTGACAGACCAGCTAGAAAAGGACAAGGTTCGTTCCGGTACTCGCATGTGCGCTCAGCATTTATTTCTCACCGTACCTTTCACCCGCTATCCTCTTCATTGCGCGATGACTGAATATCAGTGCTTCGTTTCAGGATGACGAGAGCTTACGGAGGTGGAAGGAGAGCCTACTAGGCGAGCTATCGCTCGACGACAAAGGTCGCACTGTCTTCGTATATTCCTTTTCGTGTAGCCGCTTTCCATAGCCCAATGGGATCTTATCAAGCGCAGTTGTTCTTTCCGTGCCAGGCAAGCGAGGAGGCTCGGCGGTCGAGTTTTCGGCTGTGCGGCTGCTCGTGGAGGAGCGGGACCCCATCGTGCTTCCGTTGCCTAAGGACGGCGAGGCCGTGGCGACGCCGGCGAGCTTCGAGCTGAAGGAGCGGTGCAAGTACCGGCTGCAGTTCGAGTTTACAGTCGCGAACGACGTGGTGCTGGGCCTCACGTACGTCAACACCGTGTATAAGGACGGCGATCAAGGTGAGCGCGAAGCGACAGGAGTCTTATTTGGGATTGTTCTTCCGTTTGGCATTGATTCGGAGTGGCCAAAGACTGGATTGATCTGGCCACATGAAATGAAGTGGAGCATTCAGGCTGATTACGACTTGGTGTGTTGGTCAGGGGGGCACGAAGCAGTGGCCTACTTCATCAGGAAATGCGTTCTCTCTCTCTCTCTCTCTCTCTCTCTCTCTCTCTCTCTCTCTCTCTCTCTCTTTCTCTCTCTCTCTTGCTCTCTCTCTCTCTCTCTCTCTCTCTCTCTCTCTCTCTCTCTCTCTTGCTCTCTGAGTGTTGGAAGGGTTAAAATGCTGGAAATCCATCAGAGAGATGTTATCGAGCTTTCACTATGCCAGCAGTTTCTGTCATCCCCCTTTGTTCTATAGCTGATTTCACTTCGTCTGTAGGTGCGTTAAGTGGTGTGAGTTTTACAAATGTGCAGGTATGCTTGCACTCTCCGTCCCCTTCTCCCTTCCCACTGTCTGTTCTTTAATTTCCTTCTTGTACCTAACGTTGTTGCAGTGGATACTTCTAAGGAGATGCTTGGAGCGTATGCGCCCCAAGCGAAGCCATATGTGTATGTGACTGAAGAGGAGACAACGCCTGACGGAGAGGAGGTCCGTGGCAAATATACAGCAGAGACAAAGGTGCGAGTTTCTGTGCATGTGTCTTCTTCCTATTTTCTATATTGTATCGAAGCATGCACTGGCTATTTGTTTAACACATTGTCAGCTTGTTCAATCGCTTACTTGCTATCTTCTTCCCTCCCATTCCGCAGTTCACTGACGACGATGGAAAAGTTCACTTGACATTTTCTTACTCTTTTGAGATTAAAGAAGACTGGTAGTCTGTTGTTGACCCATTAACTGATCACTATTTTTGGAAAATTACGGTACGGTTTTACAATAGAATTATTCCATGCTGTTTGCAGCAACCTCGCTCTGATGTATATATCAGATCCCCTCGGTATGGTGGTTCATTGTAGCGTTGTGAGAGTAAATAAAAACATACTGAAGCTGATCCTTTATTTTCCTATGTGATTTCACTATGAAGTTGTCTGAGTAGTGCGCTTCTGTGCCCCACTCGCAATGTAATGAATGCTCACGCGTGGCTCCTTATGATTGGCGCAAGAACCTCCGATGGATTTCTTCTCCACAGCGTGGGGAGGGGATGCGTAAGAACCTACGTGGATTTCTTCTCCTTATGATTGGCGCAAGAACCTACGTGGATTTCTTCTCCCCACAGCACACTGCTGTGGGGAGGGGATGCGTACAGCGTATCGTACCTACACAGCACACAGACGAATTCACTCGTATAGACTGAATCCAGTAGTTCACTTGTGCAGTCAATACTTCGATAGCGTTCCCTGCCTCCCATTAGCAGCAGAATCTCCCTTCTCCTGCGTCTATTTAGCATCCAGCAGTGTTACACGCACAACGTTGCCACGCGTTTCTTTAATTGCCAGCACAGCATGACGTCCACCAGTTCCACCAGTTCTTTAAGAGCCATGACGCGAACTTTTCTAACCGATGGTGTGACGGCACAGGACATCGCTCTGCCGCATAGATGTGCGCCTCCAGCATCCCGCACGCTGTCGCTTCTTTCATCCACCAGTAGAATAGCGCCGCACTTTCCCCGGAGTACCCGGCGTGTTTTGACGCGAGCAGACCCGAAAGGAGACGCAAGGGAGCTATGGCGCCGCGAGATTGAAGCTGATTCGGCAGCAGCAACAGATTTTGAGGCGGTAGATGCCGACACAGTAAGGGAAGAGGCGCAACGATTGACGCGTAAGCAAGTCATGGAGCGGCTCGACAAGGCGAGCTATCAGGAGCTTCGCGAGCTGCAGGAGAGCGGTTACGACTCCGATGGTGGCAGCACGCGGCCCGGGCTTGGTGGGAAGAGCGCGGAGAGTGGAGAGATTTCTTGGAAGGAGGTGGTGGATAAAATTTTGGTTGCGGACTTCTTTTTAATCACGATCGCTCTTGTCTGGTTTTTAACAGGTGTATTGCAGCGTTCTATCTCGAATGACGACGGGCTGCTGCTGGCGTGGTTGAAGCTGTGGGACCCCTTGTTCCAGCCAGCCATAGGCGTGTTCATGGGCTCTGCTGTGTTACAGGCTGTGCTTAAGAAAAGAGATTAAGTGCTTGATTTGCCTAACCCTCTTAAAATGCGGGGGTATCTGGAGAGAGAGGAGGGGGGGCAGGATGAGAGCTGCAAGTTCTCAGATAGGTAGTACCTATCTGGCCTAAAGTCTAAATTCAGTTTATTACGATAAGGGTTTGTTGATATGGTATTGCCGTATTCTCCCGGACATAGGGTGTTATGATAAATACAGGAAAAAAATGGGGGGGGGGGGGGGGTTCTTCTCATCGGAAAAAGCTACATACTACCTCGTATGACATTTTTTAATATAAGGATTCTGAGAAATAGACAGCTTGGGTGTTTTCGAAGTGTCAAACTGTATGTGTTATACCTGATTATTTAGCTGTGGTGAGGGGGTAGCCAATGTAGGGTACAACCCCTTAGGGTTTTCCCTTGTAACAAATCTCTCTCGATAGTTTCATCATTCCTAGCTACCTATTGAACATAGTATTAAGAGCATGTAGGGTCTTAGGACCTTAGGACGATTTTTGGGTTGCGAAGCAACCTATTACGATCGATTTGGCCAGTTTTTTTTTTTCACATTTTATATTTATTTAAAATAAAATGTGAAAAAAAAACTGGCCAAATAATTGCTACTTACGTAATCTTGTAGGAGGTCTTGTCTGGTTCAATTATATCCATATGGTGGTAGTTGTTTTTTTGGGATAACTACCGTACGTAGTTTTGTGACTTATTATGTTGTGATTTTCTACCGAATAATATGCAAATAAGATGAAGAAATTAATATAATGATTGTTGAATGTAGATGAACATAATGAAATATGATATATTATGTAAGATGATAAATGATAGATATATGATTATGTTCATTTCATATAAATAATGATTATTAGGGACAATCCATGATGCATACTAATATTCATAATGCTTGAATGCATGAATGCTAACGACACATAAACTATGCTACCTCATCCCCTGCCTAGTATGGGGGGGAGCTGATACCGTATTCTTCCGGATAAAACACCCCCCCGTAATTGTACACCTCTGGGTAGCTAATACGGGGTGGGTGTTATATCCGACCCCGTTAGTACTATACCCCCCCCTTTTGGGGTGAATCTCTATAACACCCCCCTTTTCTTATAGATTCCTATTATAGCTGTTATCGAGTCCGATTTCTTACTGGAGGATATCGCGAATTTCGCCCCCTAGAAGAAATTTCGCTTGTACTTTCACTTAGAATCTGCCGAGATTTCCCCCCTCCCACAATCTCGCTGTCGCCAC